TACAAAATCGCATGTGAGGAGACCTTAGGGTGAGGCATCAGAGGCTAAATCTTTTTCTCAGAAGGTGACACACAGCAAGAAAGCCTTCTTGCCTCAGAGATCTGACCACAAAATGATGGGGTCTCATAAAACCAGAGGGCGAAGAAAAAAAGGACTTTAATGTTCAAGCCCTGATTCAAGCCCTTTTTAATAATGAACTTCCCAAGTTTTTATTGGGGCAATAGAGGTGGAAGAAGGCTAGAAAGTGAGGGGAGTACTGAGATGGGCAGGCAGCCCTGCCCCCACGGGCACCCCAAATCCTGCCCAGAAATGACCCATGTCTGAGCACCCGACAGACCAGGGACGCTCAGCCTTCTGGGTCGGTGGGAAATGCAAATGAACACAGCAAGGATATGGCCCTCTTCACCGGTCACACTGACAGAAATAAAAACTCTGATAAGATCAAAAGTCGGTTGGGATGTGGGGAAGTCGCTACTCTACTCTCAAACCCTGCTGGTGGGAGAGCAAAGTGTCTAGTCACCCTGGGAGGCAATTCTGTGGCATCTTTTCATTTGAATGCATTTTCACCCTGCGCCTCAATACACTCTTCTCATCTTCTTCTCTGAGTAAGAAACATGCACGTTCCCCAAAGCATCCACATGGGGCTGTGTGTTGCAACAGCGAGCAAACAAACAAAAAACAATGATGGAAACCTTACTACCCATCCATCAGGGACACACATTAATAAACTATGGAACCCCCTACGCTTTTGGTAGAATACTAGATGGCATTTTGAAAGATAAGTGGAGGATCTGTAAGTATTCACATGGAAAGCTCTCCAAGACACACTGCAGACATGGTAAAAGCCAAATGAAGAAAGAGCAAAATGTTCCATATGGTATAGTATATGGGAAACCTGATATTTTTTATAAAATAGACATAATGGGGACATGCATTTATAAAGCTCTGGTGGCACTAGTTGTAAAGAACCCACCTGGCAATGCAGGAGACCTAAGAGACTTGGGTTTAATCCCTAGGTCGGGAAGATACCCTGGAGGAGGGCATGGCAACCCATTCCAGTACTGAGTGGATTCTCTTACCTAGAGAATCCCATGGACAGAGGAGCCTGGCCAGCTATAGTCCATGGAGTCACAAAGAGTTGGACATGACCAAAGTGACTTAGCATGCATACACAGCTCGCAGAGGAAACACCAAAACCAAAATGGTGGCTACAACTTCAAAGGAATCGGAATAAGGAGATGCCCAATAATTCAGCTTTATCTGTAAGATTTTCCCTTCATGGATCACAGCCTTGTCATGGCAAAGGGGCTTGTGCAACTCAATGAAGCTATGAGCCATGCCTTGTAGGGTTACCAAAGATGGACGGGTCAGAGGGAAGAGTTCTGACAAAACACAGTCCACTGGAGGAGAAAATGCAAACCACTCCAGGATTCTTGCCAAGAGTACTCAATGAACAGTGTGCTTTTTTTTTTTTGCATTGAGGATATATTCATTTATCCCTTGTGTAAATACCTATTATTTTTTAATTTAAAGGGTGATTTCACTTTATAGAAAGGAGAGACATGAGTGCAGCCACAAATTGCTGGAAACCTCCCCCAGCCCTTCTCACAGTCCTCCCTTCCCTTTATCCCCGCCAAGACCTTAACTCCCCAGACTTTCACCCTCTCCCAGGTCAACAGCTGAGGGCTTAGCGGGCTGGGAGGGGGTTCTCTAGCCAGGGCCTCTGGCTAGTATAAGGTATAATGCTGCCAGCTGCATGCCCCTGCCCTCTGGGGTGTGTGTGTGTGTGTGTGTGTGTGTGGCAGAGGAGAAATGTTTCACATTGCCCTATTGAACATCGAAGGGGGCAGCTGCTCATGCACTTTCCCACCTACACGTTCCCTCCTTCAGCCTGATGCCCACTCCATATCCCTCCTCCTGTAGGATTAAAGTGGGGGCTCGCCCCTCCCCCAGCACACTGTTGTTGCTTCTACCTCTGCCCTCTGTACCAATATACAGCATGCACTCACCAACACCTACTGCGTTCTAGGCAGGAGTCCACTAGGACTTCTGTCTCATCTTCAGACCCTGCTCTCAGTGCTTAGGCGGCAGACCATGTCTGAGTAATCTGAGCTCTCCCCCACCTCGTGCCTCTCTGGGTGCTGGCCACTGGTAAGGGCTCAGTTTTCCTAAAGCAGCCCTCAAATTCAGTACTGGGGCTTCCCACAACAGACAGCTGCCCCACCACTGACCTTTTTCCAGGGATGGACACCCACCACATGCTCCAGAGCGAGAAATCCACGTGAGTTGGTTGGCTGGACAAGGGCAGGGAAAGCTGATCTGGCTGGTCTGACCCCCTCACCCAGCTCCACACCCACACCCAACTCTCCCTCCTTTTCTACACCCATAAAGAGACTGAATACCAACCTCTTCTGGTCAAAGGAGACCCCCACCTGTCCTGCCCAGACCCGCACAGGTCTCACTTGATCTACCCAGGACCCCCACTCACAAACAACCCATCTCCTGCAGGCAGTCTCCTCTGCTCATTTATATTAAATGAATGAATGAATGAATCATCCTAGCACCCTGGGAGGGTGGGAGAAAACACCCCCACTAGCCTGTCAGCCAACCGCCCACCTATGAATACTTGCAGATTCGGAGCCCCCGATTATCACCTGCGGCTCCTCATCCCTCCTGGTCAGGGAATGAGGTTTGGCGCGCCCCAGGTCTCCCCTTCGTCCCACCAGCCCTACACTGTCCGGACTCAGGGCAGCGATGGCAAGAAAGGGGCTCCGGGTCGCTCGTTGGCGCCTCCCCGGGATCCTGTCACCCCCTTACCTGCGGGAAGGCTCGGAGCGCCCCCAGGAGCAACAGACCAAGCACAGCACGGAGGGCGCGCATCCCGGGGCCGGGGCGGAGGACTGGGCTCGCAGCCCGCGCCCACCAGCTCAGCCTGGGTAGCGCGCTGCACCCACGTGTGGTGCCCGAGACCAGCAGCCGCGCAAGCGCGGGCGGACCTCGCAGACCCTCGGCGCACCTCGCAGGCCCCAACCGCACGCTGCGAAGTCACTTCAAAAGAGGACGCTCCTTCTCCGAAGTTTCAGCCTTAACCTTTCCCTTCCACCACCACCCAAGGCACACTAGGTACCCAGTTCCTGTTTCCAGGAACGCAGCTACTTAGCGGTCAAGACAAATGGGAGAACACACGTGCAGAGATGACTCAGGAAAGCCACACTCGCCTTTTGCTGTTTGAATGGCCCGCCCCGGATTTGACAGAACCGGGGCGTCCTGCTGCTTCAGGGTGGGGGGGTGTTGCCCAGCCCAGCTGGGCTGAGGGGCGGGGAGAGTGGCTCCCTCCCCTGGCTGGGCGGTGGGGGCAGGGACTCAGGAGATTGCGAGGCTCCAGTGGGTCTCAACCGTCCCACCCCAACCCAAAGAAGGGCGAAACCCGAGTAGGCTCCTGCTCTGGACACTCTAATTAACCCAGACCTTCTCTCCTGACCTGAGGATTCTTTGGAAAGGAGCACTGGAAGCTGCAGAGAAAGCCACCGTTACCCGTTCACCACCATTCATAAATGTTCCCTGGGAAACGAATCAGTAGGATGGATGGGCGGATGCGTGGGTGGGAGGATGGGTGGATGCATGGCTGAGTGGGAGGGTGGGTTGTGGGCGTATAGGTGGCTATTTAGACAGACTGACGGTTGGAGGGACTGATGGAGAAAAGAATAGATATTCAGTTATCAAACCACAGGGGTTTCCCTGCCCCCTGAGAGTTTTCTGCCTAGAGGAGGAGCCTAGCACTCTTCCCTAAAAGAAAGACATTGTGCAAACCTCATTCGAATTAAGTTCTCCTTTGCAGCAGTTGATTTTCCCTTCCAGGGCTTCTCCATCCCATGGATTCTCCGCTACTTTCATTCTATGTCCTGTACATATCGGTTGCACATCCACTGGGCAGGTTATAGGTCAAAGGTCCATTTGCTTGTCCTTGTGTTTGTTTGTTTATTGTTTTTTTTTTTTTTTTTCAGAAATGGAAACCAAAGCTCAGCAACAGTCATCTGGTCCTCGGTGCTCTGATTAAAGATGGCCAGTTGTTTTCCTTGAGCCCAGAATGCCTCAGGATTCTGTATCTTGGTCTGTGCTGCAAGGCATAAGGCCCCGTCTTCCAGAAATACCTCCACCTCCTTGGCTCACCAACAGTCATCTCCTATCAGGACTCTCCCAACAAAGTCCCCACAACCCTTCTTGAACTCCTGGATTCCCCTTTAAAAATGCCTATACTACACACTCTGCCTGGAGACCCACTTCTAGGCTCTCCCCAGATACACTGGGCCCAGTGTCCTGGGATGTTTGAGCTGGGATTGTGTTAAACAATTAAGTAAGAAATTATGGAAGTGACCCCATGACATTCACAGAACCAGGCAGGTGCAGGAGCAACCCAGGATGCCTGCTCCCCAGTCCAGAACTCACTATATAGAAGAGCTGGTGCTATGAATAAATAAATACTTATTAAACACACATGCACAAATAATAACATCAAAACAGCTGACATACAGGGAAACACAAATGAACGTTAATTACAAGCTTGAAAATTCCACCTTTCTAGCAATCGAAGAGATGCAAATTAAAGCAAATTTGGATACTTTTTTAGACTTATTAAGTCATCAGGGTTTTTTTTTTTCTTCTTTATAAAAACAACTTTGGTAAAGTCCAACCCCAAAGTTGTGGTGAAACCAGAATACACATTCATATTCTGCTAGTAAATGTTACAACCTCTTTCAGAAAGCAATATGGCAGTGCTTTAACAAAAGCCACTCTCCCCCCAAAAAGTTTACAACTTCTGGCTCAGTAATTTAATTCTAGTAAAGAAAGACTAAGAAAATAGTTGAACGATAAAAATAAAAAAGAAAACTATAAACACAGTGACTTTTCTTAAACCATTATTTGTAAATTTTGGAAATACCCTAATAATCACAACAACAGGGAATGAATGGTTAAGGAAACTGTGGTCTACACATTTAATGGAATACTACATATCCATCTAAAAAAGCTGTAAGCCCAAGCAAAAAGACAAGTCCATCAAAAATGATAATTATAGTGATGCTGTGGAAACCTGTCTCTCCCTCCTGTCCTTCCCCTCCTTGGAGAGAAAGGGACCCTTAACCAAGTCTCCTCCTCAGAGTGGGAGGGGTGCTTCTCAAATTGCATCATTTACTTATTGTAATAATAATAGCTGTCTTTGAGCACTACTTTTTGCTAAGAGTTTTCAGACTGTTCCTTGAATCCTCAGGGAAACTCCATGAAGATTCAATGTTTGTGCCCATTCTGCAGGTGAGAAACTGCAACAAGAGCAGTGAATTCATGAAGCCAGGGTTCCCCAGAGCCAACGGTGCTCACAGCCGTGCCCCAACTGACTTGGTCCTAAGGCTTGGGACACACCTCCATCCGACTCATGTCTGTCTTCAGAACCTGCTCCGGTGACACCACCCTCTCTTTGTAGCTTTCCTGGCAATGATCCCTCCCCTCCCCCAGCCATCTTCCCAGTCACAAAGGCGGTTTCTGTCGTTTTTTTTGGTATCTCAATTCTAGAACTGATCTCACTGTGTCATGACTGTAATGACTGATTCGAGTATCCATCTGACCCAGGAAACTGGGGGCTCCCAGAGCACCAGGATGTCTTGGGAAGCCGGATACAGTGCCAAGCCCAGGGCTGCCAGCCAATAACCAGCCAGCCCAGGGAAGGGCACAATCTGTGGCCAGGTAACAGGCTGGGTCCCAGGAGGGGGTGGAGCGGGGGATCAGGGGAGAAATTGCAGCCCCCTAGGAAAATGGCAGCTTGGGGGACTCTGGTGAGCAGGCATCGGCCAGACCTGAGTCCCTGTCCTCTGTAGGTTTCAGATGGTTCGCGAACCCATGAATGTGTGTGAAAGTGCTTTGAAGAGCAGGAGGGGAAGTCCCGAGGGCCCAGGCGAGGCATAGCAGCGGGTCCTGTTGTGGGATCGCGGAGCAGGGGGTAGGGGGGGTGCGGGGGGCGGCCCCACCAGATCAAGCTGTGGAAGCCAGAGCGCTGCCAGGACCATCTCATCTCATCTCAGAGGAAGGGGGTGGGAGGCAGGTGCAGCAGGAAGCTTTCTGCAAGGGACCAGGAACCTGTGTCACCAAAGGGATGCTGAGCAAGACACAAGGTTCCGACTCGGTTCAGGAAATGCAGGGACTTCCCCAACAGCTGGGAACCCCAGCCCCAAATGGCCCCAAAATACCCTCAGCAGATGAAGGGATTCTTTCTGCCACAGGCGGCAGCAGGCAGGTAGAAGGCTGAAAGCTGGGGCGGAGGGAGGGGTAGAAAGTCTGGGCCTTTCTTCTCTGACTGGCACAGGTACTTCTCTGAGTCCCTTTCTTGAGAGCAGTGGTGGAGGTGGGGCTTCACTTGGGGGCTTCTCTGGAGGAGCGACTTTCATGTCAAGCTGCCTTGCTTGAACTCAAGCCCCCAGAGCTCTGCCCTCCTAAAGGCCCAGAACTAGCTAGACACTGGTGGCTCAGCTCCGGCCCCTTAGAGGGTGGTAAGAAGTGGTGGGGTTCAGGCCTCGGTGTTAGCAGAAAATAGTAGGGGCTCCCAGCTGGCTAGGGGAACCCCAGCAACACATACCCACAGGCAGGCTACCCAGGCGCTTGGCCAGACATTTAAGCCTGGCAGCAAGGTTTTATTCAAGTCAATGTTGCTATCTCCACTTCACAGATGAACAAACACAGTCGTTCAGTAACTTGCCTGAGGTCACACAGCTTGAGATTGGCAGGGCTGAAACTTGGCTCCAGCCCTCTAACTTTCAAGGCTTCACTGCCCTCTCTTCTCTCTCTCTAGGCCCCTGTTTCCCCAGGAGAAAGAGCACTGGTGATGGGAGTCCTAATCTGCCCATGTGACTGTGGGCACATTGTTTCTTTTCTCTGTAGTTATCTATCTCTGTGTACCACAGATCTTAGGAGCTGAAAAGAACAAACATTGTGTCCCACGCTTTCTGGGGATCAGCAATTTGGGAAAGACTGGACAGGGTGATTTTCTAACATCAAATGGCAGCTGGGACTGTAGTCATCTGAAAGGCTTGACTGGGGTCTCCAAGATGAGCCACTCGCATGGCTGCGTTCAGGAGGCCTCAGCTGCACACAGCTGCTTGGGTGTCCTCCCAACATGGGCGGCCGGCCTCCTCCAGAGCAAGATGGAAGCCACGTTGTCTTTTATGATGGAGCCTCAGAAATCACACTTCATCATCCCCATGGTGTTTTGCTGACTGCAAGCCTGGCTCTCCTCAAGGTGTGCAGGGTCTGCACAGGGGCGGGAGGACCTGTAGGCAGGTGGGGATCATCTGGGCAAGTTTCCTTCTCTGCCAGATGTGGATGTGAGTGCTACCAGGCAACCTTCTGAGGGTTGCAAAGAGCCCTGAAAAAAAATGGACATTGAAAACGCTTTGAATTAGAAGGGAGAAATGTAAGGCTTCATTGTCCTTTCGCTACACCCACCAGGTACCTAGGGCCCTGCTGAAGCCCCAGACCTCTCCATTCCGGATCACAGCTGCAAGGCCCGTGGCCTGGTGTTCCCCTTCCCCAGGGGTGAGTTAACTGTGGCATTCACCATTCCAGCCAAGAGGTGACTCATGCAGAGGCCCACAGCAAGGACCTTAGGGGTCAGAGGTCTTTCCTACCTCTCAGGTGATGCCAGGTGGCTGCCTCAGAATAGGCCAGCCAGCTAGTCATACAGGCACCATGGGGATACTTCCCCAGGCCCCTGGCACCTGGGGATGGCCTGAGTCATGGCTCCAGTTTGATGGTATCAGCTCTGCTGTGGGAAGACCACACGGAGAGTCAGGAGCCCAGGCCCGACTCCAGCCTCAAGATTTCTCCTCCCTGGGCTTCTGCACTGTGATCTGTGAAGTGAGGGATTGGGATGTGATGACCTGTTTTAAAGGTCCCTTGTTCTGAGGCTTCAGGGAGAGTGAGAGAGATAGGAGGTCCCTATCTGGGCCTGAGGGCTCCTGGAGGACATTTCCAGTTCTGTTCTTCTGGGCTGGCCTCAAGCCTTGGAACCAGACAGCCTGGCCAAATTCTGCCTCTGCCACTTACTCACTGTGTAGATCTTGGTCAAGTTTTTTCATCCTCTCTGAACTTCAAATTCTTCATCCGTAATATGAGAATGACAGTGTCTACTGTGAAGTGCTGTTTTAGCTGTTTAGTCACTAAGTTGTGTCTGACTCTTTTGTGACCCCATGCACTGTAGCCCACCAGTCTCCTCTGTCCATGGAATTTTCCAGGCAAGAATACTGGAGTGTGTTGCCACTTCCTCCTCCAGAGGATCTTTGTGACATAAGGATCGAACCCATATCTCCTGCATTGGTAGCTGGATTCTCTACCACTGAGCCACCAGGGAAGCCCAGAAATGCTGAAGTGAGGATTAAACAGGTTAAGGTGAATGGCGTCAAGGGGAATCTCTGCTCTCCCAGCCCAACAGGGGCATCTGTCTTAGTGACAGTCTAGCCTCTGGGCTCAGGCACCTTTCATTCATCCGCAGCCTCATGGCCATTACTTCTCATGAACTCCTGGGACTCGTAGATGGGGAGGACTTCCTGTTCTGTACCATAATTTCCTTCTAACTTCCAAAGAGATGGAGAAGAAAGCTAAGACCAGCAAGGGAAAGAGATTTGACCAAGGCCCACAGCATGTCAGGGATGACCTCATGGGCGGAGACTGTCCATCACAGAGTCCCCGTCTTCCCCAGACCTTCTTGCTCAGTGAGGCCGTTGTGAATGGGGGTGAGTCATATAGACTCTCAGGAAACCAAACCCAGTCCAATATTAATCACGGAATCAGAGACATCAGGTACAAGAAGGAAACAGAAGCAACGGATGGTAGCGGCGACTCGGCTGGAGGTGCAGGTGAAGAGTGTGTGCTCATGAGCGCATAGACACATGGAGGTCCCCAGACCCGTGTGCCCCAACCAGAAGGCCCAAGGAGGAGAGGACCACTCCTCACAGGGCCATTCTTATCCCAATAAGCCATACTGCCTTCAGAAGCACCGTCCCCACCCTACAGAAGGGAACATTGAGGCCAGGGTCTGTTGGCTTCTTGGGAGGAAAAGAATCTCCCGGGGCAGGGATTTTTGTCATCAAATTCAGTGCCTGTCATCAGCACACAAGGCAGACCGAATGAATCAAAGGTGATTACCAGATACTCAGCACAGCAGCCCTGCAAAATGACAATAAAAAAAAAAAAAATCCATGGGAAAAAAGATGCTCAGAGAAGTTGTTTACCCAAGTCAGCCAGTTAGTAAGTTCTAGAGCCATGATTCAAACCCCAGTCTGTGACTCCCCTCTCTAGAGTGGTGGTTTTCCTTATTGTAACTTGTACCCCTACATCTTGTTGTCCTGGAGACCAACGGTCAACCTGCTCCCCCTCATCGCCCTGGAACCTGCTCTTGGCTCCCAGGGGTGTTTATTGTAGAGGAGTTTGCTCTACAGGAATTAGCCTTGGATTTCCTGTCACCCCACTCCTTCCCCACAGGGGCCAGGTCTCTGGCAGTCAGGCTGAGGAAGACTCTCCAGGGCCTGGACTTGAGTGGGCCAAAGGCACCCCATCCTCAAATCAAGACTTACAACACAGAAGGTTCCAGAAGCCAGCTTCACTCTCCTGAAGGCTGAGAACTTAGAGATGCAAGGAGGGAAGGCTCTATCCACTGCTTGCCCCTCAGCCTGAAATTCTACCATTACTCACTCCTTTGGGCCAAGGTATCGAAGTCCCCAGTAAAAATGTAAATCATTCTTGGGGAAGCCACTCGGTAAGTCATTAACAGTGTCACTGCCACACATGGGCTGGCTTCTCACAAGAGCCTGGGAGGAGTACAGAGCTGGAGGGGCTGATGGCCAAGTGTAACGTGCTGCTCACTCACCAGTCTGAGGGAGCTCCGATTCAGACTCCAGCTTAGCACAGCCAAAAAGGGCCCCCAAAGGGCTCCTGCCCCCCTGACCTTATCCTCTGTCATGTTCCCTACTGGCCTCCTTTCTGTTCCTGGGGCCACCAGGCTTATCCCTGCCATAGAACCTTTACACTTGCCAGTTCCTCTGCCTGAATCCTTCTTCCCCTAGCTCTATGACCCATCCAGGAAACTTTCAGGGTGATGGATATGTTCATATCTTGGCTGTGCCGATGGATGAATACAGATGCCAAAATTTATCAAGGCTTCCCCAGTGGCTCAGTAGTAAAGAATCCATCTGCAATTTAGGAAACGCGGGTTCAGTCCCTGGATCAGGAAGATCCTCTGGAGAAAGATGGGAGAATCCACTCCAGTATTCTTGCCTGGGAAATCCCATGGACAGAGGAGCCCAGCAGGACTACAGTTCATGGGGTCACAAAGCGCTGGATGCAACTGGGCGACTAAACACCACCAGCACCTTAAACAGGTCAAGTTTATCATGTGTCAGTTACACTTTAATAAAGCTGTCAATAATTTTTTTATGCTGCCCTTTCTCACCCTTCAGGTCTTGGCTTAGACGAAGACGCTATAAAGACTTCCCTGACCACTGATACTGCCGCTCTGTGTCCCCTCACTCTGTTTATTCCCTTCCAGGGACGGATCACACCACCATCTGAAACTGCGTATTTCCCAGTGGCCTGACTTTCCGCCTAGGATGAGTGCTTATAGGCTCAGAGACTATCTGATGTGAAAGAAGGACTTGGTTTAACGAGTATTTTCCAGAGGACTCAATGGCCAAGGCCAGGGGCCCTGGGAAGATGGCGGGCATCCGCTCTGCCTCCCCGGGCTCCTGCGGCATGGAGGCTGAGGAGGACAGACTCTGCTCTGAAAGTGAAACCCGGAACAGAGCCTCTGCCCTGAGTCCGCATCATCATCCATGTGGTCACTGCAGGCGGGCAGTGGGCCACACTCCCTGAGAGGAGGGACCCTGTTCCCAGCAGAAGCGGCCCATGGGTATGCAGAGTTCATTCAGAAAACCCCTCTGGGGTTTTCCTAACCAGTCCCTCCATGCCACTGGGGGAGGGCTGCCTCCCCCTCCTTCTCTCTCCCCAAATAGGAGCCATGAGGCCGTAAGACCTGGTGGGGCCTGGGGCTCACCAGCTAAGAAATCCCAGAGGTCTGGGGAAACTAAGGCCTGGCCCTGACTCAGGCCTGTTAGGTCTGGGACTCATGTGGTTCCTGCTGGAGACTGGGACGTGGTCTGTGTTACAGAAAACCAACAGTTGTCATCTACAACCCCCAGCTACTCATCATTAACTAGTTTCTAGTTTGCATAAGAAGGTGGTCCAAGATGTGAGAAACAGGAGATCTGGAGAGTAAGAGTCCCTCCCCTAACTGATTTACACTGATATTGAGGCCAAAATCATGCAGCAAGTCAGTGTAGGGACAGCCCCTAGACCCAGGCTTCTAATCTCCCGCCTTCACCATCACCTGCTTTGTCATATGTCTTGGCTGCTTTGCGTCATCTGCCTTCTCCAGGCCTGCCGTCTGGGAGCAAGGACTTGACCCCAGAGTTTCAGCCCCAGGCAAAGGAAGCAGGCAGGGAGTCTGATGCCTGCAGAAACTGCTGGAGCGTCAGGGGTTGGGGAACTATCCGCCTATTAGAATGCTGCAGCCACAGACGCACACCCAACACACCCATGCTGGCACACCTGCCATCCCAGACACCCTGGAGGCTGAGCCATCTGCCGTCTGGAAGTGGTCCTCGTGTCTGTCCAAAGAGGTGCTGGAGAAATAAGCCCTGTGCCGAGGATAAGAAGGGGGAATGTTGCCTGCCCCATGCCCACCGCCCGGGGGCCTGTGTGTTGGTGAGCTGACACTGCATTTCAAATACCCACTGCTTGGCTGCAGTAGCCCAAAGGAAGCAGCCTGTCTTGGGTTCCTTGAGGTCTAAAGTCCAACCACTTGCCAGCACCCACCCTCGTGCTTGGGAGCAGTGAGAGCAGCTACTGCCCTCGCTGGGAGGAACCCTGCTCGATGGACTGAGGGCTTTCCTGAGCCACGGCCTTGTAGCTCTGTAGGCGCCACTGAACTGAGCCATGTGAAGAAACTGTCAGCACCTACATGAACCAGTGGCCATCACTGTGTTCCCAGCCCCCTGAGGAACTGTGGGCTGAGGGCTGTGCTCTAGGGGCCAGAGCTTGGCCATCCAGGCCTCTGGGGCGTGTCAAGGAGAGCCGGGTGCCCACCGAGACCTGGAACTGCCCCAGGCCCACCTCCCATGGGACCGACCAGCGCCGCAGACCTAACACGCCTGTAAGAACAGGAATGTTTGGATGAAAGCAACACATTTCTGCTCGTTTGGGGGGTGAGTGATGGGAACTGTCATTCATTCATTCAACAAACTCTATAGGTGCGTGGGTAGTACACTTCTAGGCTAGGTGCTGGGGATACAGCAGCAGACACAGTCAAAACGT